GCCGCCGCCGCCGCCGTCGTCGTCGTCGTCATCATCGTCGTTGTCATTGTCGCCCTTGCCGTCGTGCAGCGTCAAGTGTTCCCGAGTTCAAACGTATTCGCCCAGTGTACAACGGAGAATGGGCATTTAACGGAGACGGCCCGCACTCCAAAAAGGCAGCGGCTCGAAGAATCCGGACACAGGGTGAGTGGCGCGCGGCAGCTATCACGCTATCACGCTGTTTCTCCCTTTCGCGTCTCGCACCGTCGTTCCGGCTTTCCGAGCGTTTCCCATCGCGGCCTCTCCTCACCCGCTCGTCGTCGACACGACGTGCATTACCGCGGCCGCCCGCTCTCGGCTCGCGGCCGCGACAACGGGGAAAGAAGCCGCGTCGCCATTTATCGGCGTAATGATCGCGACGCGATGCGCGCGTGTTCGCCGCGCGCCATCGGAGTTTTCGAGCAACGCGCGGGGCGCCATTTACCCGCGGGTCCCGACATACGGTCACGGCGTGTAACCGTATGTGCAGCGTGATGCGACGCGACGCGACGCGACGCGACGCGACGCGACGCAGCGCGCGTCGCCGGTACGATCGTTCGCGATAACAATGGGATCGCGATCGCTTCGCCGGTGACGACAGTCGCGAAGCGTTTCGACGCGACCAGACAATCGCCGCTTCGCTTGGCTATCGGTCGCTCCATTGAATACGAGAATATCGCAATGTCGCCTCCCCCCTCCCCTTTCCCCTCCTGCCGCCGCTGCGAAAGACGAGGGGGCCGATAATTCGCGGGTTAATATGTCCGTCGATCTTTTAAAACTCCCGGGACTTTATTCGATCGAGTATCGCGTCGAAAAGAATTATATTAGGTTTGTTTTTTGTTCCTGCATCAAAACTTTTTATCTCACCTCTGTCAAACTTCAAATATATATTTTATTTCAAGTACGACGAGTGTGTGCTGGTTTAGCTACAAAAAACAAACCAATTATCTCGACATTCGAGATTCGTAGGGAGCGTTATTTCTTCGTTACTTGCGCTTTCGGATTCAAATTATACGATTTTTTTTAATAATGCTAATAAGTAAATCGAGATTTGCGAAGATTTTTATATTTTTTAACAATGAATTATAACGTTTTTGTCGAAATAATTAACCGTTTTGAACAAAAACGAATTGAATTCTTTTTATCGAAAAGAAACGTTTTTACTACTAATGTATCTTGTAGTTATTTTTTAGTTATCTTTACGTATAGCAAATATGATGAAAGAGGGAAAACACCCTCTGAAAATGCCACGAGATCTCGAACGATCTCATAAATTTGATGGAGAGAATTTTGTTGTTGAAAGTTGCGATCGGAAAATAGAAAGCGACTTCTGCACGTCAAACGGTGCGCTCGATTCAATTTTCATCTTATCTAAAAGATACACGTACACACAAAGGCATATTGTCGCATATTCTTTTATTCATGTATTCTTTCGCAAAACTGAAAGTCAAGTTTCTCTTAACCAAGTTTTTCGCAGCTTGTACGAGTAACAAACAATGAAGAGAGAACGATAAGCTATTATCGAGAGATTACATTTAAATGTGCAAACAGATAAAAATTTTTTTTCAATTCATTCTAAGAAAAATAAATACCGATTGATTTTTGCTATCGAAAAATTGATCTCAGATTGGTTGTGAAAACATCTGTAATCTATTATGAAATTATTATGTTGTGTGTTCGAGGAATTCGCTATTAGCGCATTTATCTATCACATCGTTCTATCTTTATCACTTATTAGATGTAAATCAAGAATAAAATGACGCGCTAATAACGCGTTCCCCGAACGCTGTAAGCGAGAATATTTTTCTTATATTATTTAGGGTGGGTTGTTCCATCTTTCGATAAATCTCCACTTACTCTCACTCTTTCGCGTTCTCTTTTTCTTATTCACAGCTTTATCCATTAAATTCCATTTATTCGAAAGTGGAACAACCGACCCTTAGAATGATATTAAAACAATCATGATTGGGTTGCCATGCTGTTTCGTATTTCAATTAAAAATTATTGTAGATTATTTATGAGAGATAACAGAGTTAGGTATATACAAGAATTTGACTTTTACGAAGTTTCGTATTTATTAGCTCGCTACATTCCACGTATATCCGTATTTCGATATCACTTGAAATATTCATTAGCGCGGTTTACCTTGTTTACTCCCACGCTTCGTTATGCATATAACGGACAGAATAATTTTGCTTTAACTAACGTTTCCCGGCTTAGCTACTTTGTAAAAGCTCTCAAAAATTATCAACTCGCGTAAAACTTAACGTTACAGAGAGCAAAGCTCTTGTGAAATCTATTGTCGAGTTTAAAATTTAATATTGTATACGGACATATTTATCGTACGACACGAACGCTAAAATCGCGAGTACAATCCGAGTTGTCAGACTTGACTTCACGACTTGTCCATTACGCCAATCACGCTAATCACTAGTATTCGCTCATTGGCTCCGAAATACCCGAGTTTTCGGAGCATGACTGATGGGGGCCTCGAGAACCCCCTCCCCCCCCCCCCCAGCCACGTTTTCAAGACACGTCGGCGTCGCGAGGGCAACCTGTTATCTGCCACATTTCTCGACGATGTCGGCAGGACGCATTATTCTCGTCACTAATGAATAGTGCGAAGATGATGCACGTTCGAAACAAAGCTCGCACGCGCGCTACGATGATCGATAATTCCGGACGCGTTATCAGCGCGCGGTGCACGGACATCGCGACGGACGCTCCCTCGAGAGATAATCGTGACGAGAAATGTCGCATGTATACGAGCCTCTCAGAAATCAAATCATTGGAACGCGATTTTATTTTCAAACATTTTGTCTCTCGAGAGTCGATACACATGATCATAATTTTTATCAATTTCCCGCGTTTTTTATCTCGCGCAATCGATCGATTTGACTTTCGTGGGGCTCATACGGAAAGTACGGGAGCTTCCCATTTATTTTCGCGACGTAAAATTCTCGTACTATCGATAGCTGATAGCCACGAAGAATTCATGTGGTTCGTACTTCATCAAACACTCTCTCTCTCTCTCTC